AACAAGTAACACCCCAAGTAAATGTTCAACACATGGCATCATTAACAAGTAACACCCTGAGTAAATGTTCAACACATGGCATCATTAACAAGTAACACCCTGAGTAAATGTTCAACACATGGCATCATTAACAAGTAACACCCTGAGCAAATGTTCAACACATGGCATAATTAACAAGTAACATCCCAAGTAAACGTTAAACACCTGGCATCAATAACAAGTAACACCCTGAGTAAATGTTCAACTTACAAACATAGTCAGGTGTCCCAAGAATCTCTCTAAGTTCAATTCCTTTTGAAATCAGGCGAGAAATTCCAAAGTCACACAATTTTATATCACACGTTGGAAATGTATTGGTAAGCAACAAGTTTTGTGGCTGAAAACAGAAAAAAAAATGTTATTTAACCATTATATAAAAAAGGAGCAAACATAATCACAAAACTAATGATGGTATAAGCAGCATCAATACATATAAGCAATTTACACGCTATTACCATAAAAACAAATCCATCAACCTATAACACATTACTTTAGGCTAATGAAATACCAGAAAAAAATAAATGAATTAACTTATCAAAATAAGAAATACTTGTGACAAACGTTCAGTGGATATAACAACATATTTTGTTTTTTTATCTCTCACAGGTTAAACATATAATTCAAATCACATCTAGACGTGCTTTACATATTTCTCTCTCTTTGCTAACTCGTTTTGTGAATTCCAATTATCTAGGGTTACATTCACTTACACAAAAATAAATTTCTAATCTGTCAGAGGTGCAAAATATAAACTAAAATACGATTATGGCATTCTGAAATAGCACTCATCAATTCTTGTACAGTTACGTGTAGGGGAAAAAAAAACTTAAATAACTTTTTATTGAACCCTCGGGTCCTCTAAACGTTTAAATCTGTGACCCATCTCATAACTGTAGCATCTTACCAAACAGAAACAAGGCGTTCATTGACGAGATATTTCTTGTATAAAAAATTCGGGCAACTTCCGTCCGCTCAAGACAAGCATCTTGTACCACGTGACCGAATAAAGTGCGGAAACAAGTGACGTAAGAAGCGCCAAGTGGCCCGTTTGTTCAAATTAGGTTGATGATCAATCATATTTCTTACATTGTATGCAACACAAAACATTTTAAATCACGCAAAATTACTACTGTAAATTATTTAAGTTTATCTGAGTGTATTTAAATATATTAACAGTAATAATAAAAAAATAGGAATATTCTTATTCTGTTAGGCCCAACAAAGCGGATATTCCCCCTATGTTGTACCACTACTACAGCGGGAAAAACTGTTAACACCAAGTTAAGCACAGGAACAAGGTCGGCATATTGCTCCATAAATCTGAGTGTCAGATAAACTAATACACCGGAAAACAACTCAGTCGAAATGTTTTCCATCATTGCATGTATCTTTCAGTTACTTGCTAAAATAACATCGAGCTACAACTCGGCGCTATCAAGTTTCACCGAGACGTTTTCACGTTCCTGTGACGCACGATTTCTATACCCACCAGTTAACACTGGGCGCAGATTACAACGACGATAGCTCAGGAAAAATATTTATATATATATAAACTGTCATCTACGTTCTTTATTTAAATATATATTTTAAACCACCTACATTTTTTGAAAATCTATATCAGAAGTTAAAACTGTCACCTAAGTTTTCAAATCATCTTGCACGTTAAAACTGCTATCTAAGCTTTTTTTAAAATAATCTCACAAATTAAAACTGCCACCTATATATGTTAGTACTTTATTTTCTACTTTAACTCTTTTCCTAACTTAAAATGGAATTAGAATGTTGGACCACGAGATCAGTAGCAGTTAAGTACCAAAGTAAGGGTGTAAAAAGGAAAGAACCTCTCAGACAATTACTCAATAAGGCACCACTTTGTCGACAACTGTCGCTTGTGTATTATTTCTGGGCAACAATGCGATGATTCTTTCGTAACTGACGTTACATGTTCAAGCCAAATAAATACAACACTTGTCTTACATTTGTTTGAACCAACAGTTAGTCTTAACTGAAAATATCAAATGCACTGCTCGCTACATTTTAAGAAAGCCTTTCTTCTGTCTACATTGAAATCAAATCCCTCAACATGTTATAAATATACATATAACACAATAACAATGTAAAATACTACTCTCAATATATCCACCATTAAACAAAGACATGGCATAAAATCTGATTGTTCTCTGGTTGTTTACATAATAGGCAATACATTTGATTAGAAAAATCACTAATATTAACCTCTCACAAAAGTCCTAACAATGCCGCTACTAATTTTCCATAATTACCTTGATATCTAAGTGCGCAATGTTGCGCTCATGCAAAAAAGCTACGCCCTCTAGAATCTGGCGCATGATACGAGCTGCTTCCTTTTCCGATATCTCCTCGTGGTCTTCCAAAACACGCTGAAGTTCGCCCCCTGCTGCCCTAATAGGAAAACATACAAATATCACTTTAAAGGCCTAAGAAGGTGTTGCTTTTACACAGTCCTGCGAATTTAAACTTCATAAAAATTGTTTTGGTTTTAATAACGGATTTTCCATAATTCAGCTACGCAGATTTCGAAAATAATATTCATTTTTTGCTATCGCATAAGGATTTTTTATAAATCGGAAAG